GTGCCATATTGGATTTTGGTCCACCATCTAGGATTCCAAGATGGCAGCGGATGTCGATTCTCCACTTCTACTCATCGAGCAGATTCCATAGATACCCATATTGCATGGGTTTAGATGCATATACGCTGTCCGGAGGGTGCCATATTGGATTTTGGTCTGACATCTTGGATTCCAAAATGACGGTGGAAATCAGTTTCTTACTTTGACTGTAATAGCAAGGTATTGATTTTCCGTTTGGTGATTTTGTTACCTCAAAATCAGCTAAGTCGTCGTCTGCGTGTGCTCCCAAATCTGTTACCGTACCTTCTTCGTTCTCTGTGATCCACGTTGAGGTCAAGGAACTGCTTATTTTAATTTTACACGTGACGGAATCCATCTTTGACATAAAAGATGAAACGTAAACAAACATGTCATGTAATATTAAGTGCTCCAAGACTGAAAAGTTCGTTGCTCGACGAAAAGTACGTTTGATTGAGCTATATTTCGCGTCTGTTATGACTCAAATTTATGTCAAAATTGACGCTCGTATATGTCACTCTTAGAGCACCTAAATTTACATGAATTTTTCTAAGTGTGTAGTTAACCCCATGAGTGCCCATTTCGACCTTTTGTCCATTGCTAAGGTGTCGTCAGTCGGTAAAGACGCAGCTATAAAGTAAGACCATGCTGGAGGTGATTGAGTTCGATTCCCGGTCCGGTAGAGTTATTTTCCGGGTTAACAAATTTCTAGACTTGGAAATAGAGTATGATTGTACTTGCCACACAATATCCTAGTGCAAAAATGGGAAGCTCTCAATCTGGCTCAACGAACACTTACTTGTGATCCGGTGTTAATTCTCAGCGGGGACGTAATAAGCAAGGTTTCAAATTGAAATAACTTCGGAGTTTCCCATATTCTCGAGTTTGTATTGTTACGTGTAACTTTGTATAGATTAGTTTTATGCTTTTGCTTAATTGTTTATTATTATTATTCTTCATCTGACTAACAGTCTTATTGAAGTTTGATGGGGATTGATGCACAAGCTTGGTGGAGGCGGTACTCACTTTCAAACTGCTCATATGAGATTGAGCAAAGGTTTTTGAATAACCAACTCGAGAAGATTGGAAACTCCGGAATTATTTCATTCTGTAACTTTACTTTCATTGAAATAAGTGAACTGACTTTCAGTACTTTCTCATCTCGCGGTAGTGCAGTTTCCGCAATTATTCTAGAATTCTAGGAAGCTCCTACTGTTAGCTAAACAATTAGCTAAAGTTCTCGATTTACAAGTTCTTTTCTGACATTCTAGAAACCTTTCTAACGTTTTTGCAGTTATCGTAAAGCTTGTTGTTGAAAATTTGGTTAAACTAAACTTAACCTAAAATAAAAAAAAAAAATCTTAACATCCCTAAAGACGCTTGATCCGGTTCAGAAGACATTGTTAACTGCTTTCGGGATGTCATTTCCTTTTAATACCTTCTTGTAACCGATAATGAACGATCGTCGTTCGAAGCTTGCTGTGATGTAAGGGGGCACGGTGGCCTTAGAGCGACCGTTTTTGCTTACCGAGCAGAAGATCGTGGGTTATGATAGGGTTCAGATCTAATTCATCCTTCCCACTAACAAAACCGTCCTTCCCGTGACAATCGTGGAGATGCAGAGGTATACTCGGTCTCTAGTAACAAAGGGTGTCGAAATAGCAATCCTTTCCCTTCCCGATGACCGTAAGGACGTGGCCGGCGCCGTTATTGACCTCAAAAATATCGGATTTTGCACACTGAAAACGAATTGCTAATCCCACGCCCCATTCATCATATGGTTCTTTGTGCAAATTTTGCTAAATCTGGACAATCACAGAGTAGCCACTAGTGAAATGTATGGTCGTCAATGAGTGAGACTCCATTCCCAAGGGAGTCAAGATTTTGTTCACCAGACCTGCCTCTAGTATGGTATGTCTTGCCCAGGGTTCTGCATTTTCGAAACAAAGAAAAGAAAATGAACTCTTCGCAGAATTGCTTCATTTAGAGCAATATCATTTTTGTGTAAGTCATTGTGTTTCTTGTTATCGAGTCACGATGAACATTCCTCCTGTCAAACATGACTTGGCTATCGCTTGTTTCGTTCGTCAAGTTCATCAGTTCATTTCATTTGAAGCAAAGACTTGTTTCAATTGACGTAATGAATGACTCGAAAACTGCTTCCGTCGTTTTTTTCCACTTTCACTTATTTTCCTTCCTTTATTTAACGTCGGTCTCTATTGCGCAATCTAGTGCCAATCACCGACGGACATCGATTGCCATCCATTGACGGCAATTGAATGTGCAGGAAGGCAGCTTCCACACCTGCGTAGGATATCGCACCCATTCCAACACACATGGGCCGGGACCAACGGCTCTGCTTCCCTTTCGAAGGGAGACGGGACCAAAGATGTTTATGCTTCAGAAAAATCCCACCGACTTCGGCTGGGATTGAACCCAGACCCATTGGGGTGAGAAAGCAATTACGCTTACCGGCTACACCACCGGTGCCGGCTACTTTCACTTCAATTCGGGGCTCATTCGACTTGTCACACGTCGCGTCATCAGGCATCAAGATATAGTACCCGCACAATATTGGTTGCCGATAGGGATGGCATCCGGATTATATGAAGTAATAAATTGTTATTTTATATTAAACGAAAATTATATTAACGAGGTCATTCTGGAGTCCAAGATGGCGGTTATCGGACTCAGGAAAAGCTTCAAATACCCTACAATATTTTCGGAACGGGGACGACGTGAAGGTGAAGAAAATGTATGTCCGACGCCATTTTTGGAATCCAAAATGGCGGCCATCAAACTCAGAGTGTCAAATACCCTAAGATATGGGTATTTTCGGAACGGGGAGGACGAGTAGATGCTGAAAATCGATGTCCGAGGCCATTTTAGAATCCAAGATGGTGGCCATTGGTTTTCAGAAACCGTGTCAAATACCCTAAGATATGGGTATTTTCAGAACGAGGACGATGCAGAACGGGGACGATGCAGAACGGGGACGATGCAGAACGGGGATGATGCGTAGTCATTTTGGAATGCAAGATGGGGACCATCGGATTTCAGAAAATTGTTAAATACCCTAAGATATGGGTATTTTTGGAACGGGGAGGACGAGTAGATGCCATTTTAGAATCCACTATGGCGGCCATTGGTTTTCAGAAACCGTATCAAATACCCTAAGCAATGGATATCTTTGAAACGGGGAGGACGCGTAGATGCCGAAAATCTATGTGGACAATACTCTAAGATATGGGTATTTTCGGAACGGGGACGACGCGTAGATGCCGGAAATCAATATTCGACGCCATTTCCGAATTCAATACCATTGGGTTTGACAAAAACTGGCAAATACTATAAGATCTGGGTATTTTCGGAACGGGGACGACACGTAAATCCTGAAAATTGATATTCGACACCACTTCGATTTTAAAATGGCGTCGGACATCGGTTTCTGGGATTTCGAAATACCCATATTGATGGATATTTGACAGTATTTACCACTGAAATAAGAAGTCGCCATATTGATGGCATCTGACATCGATTTTCGGCATCTACGTGTCATCCCCGTTCCGGAAATACAGGGTACTTGACACGCCATGATTCCAAAAATACCCGCGGCGCCCAGGTTGGGAAATACTGGTGTAGTGGTAAGCGTGATTATCTCTCGCCCCAGTAGGCCTGGGTTCAATCCCAGTCGGCGCCGCCGGGATGTTCTGAGGCATAACATCTCTGATCACGCCTTCCTTCGAAGGGAAGTAAAGCCGTTGGGCCCCGGTTCATGAGTTGATGAGTCGATAGGTAGGGTCCAGGTGTGGGAGCTGCCTCCCTAGCGTCGGTAGCATTGGTGCTCAGCTCTGAAATCAAGATCGACGGAACACAAATCATGGAAAAAAAAATGCAAGATGGCGATTTGCGACCTCTAGATGTCACCTCGATTCCAAAAATACCCACATTGATCGGTATTTGATAGTTTCACACTTTTTATGATCCAACCGGGACCGATTACCGAGTCCAAAAATACCCGTATTGATGGGTATTTGACAGTATTTCCCACTTTTTCTTGAACCGGAAGCCACCATCTTGGATTTAAAAATGGCGTCACATATCTATTTCCAATCTCTAGACGGACTCAATTCCAAAAATACCCATATTGATGGGTATTCGACAGTATTTACCACCTTTTATTACATCGGATATCAAAATGGCGTCGGTCATCGATTCCAGACCTCTAGACGTCATCATGATTTCAAAAATACCCATATTTATGGTTATTTCACAGTATTTTCCTCTTTTTTTAAATCAGAAGCCACCATCTTCGATTTAAAAATGGCATCGCATATCGATTTTCATTCTCTAGACATCATACCGATTCCAAAAATACTTATATTGATGGGTATTCGACAGTATTTTCCACTTTTTCTGAAATCGGAAGCCACCATTTCATTTCAAAATCAAATTTGAAAAAATGAACCGAATGAACAATCAACAAAAGTCAGAATATGGATCGCAGTGCTTCAATGCGAAAGACAGTTCGTTTGACAACGGAAGACGAAATAAACACGAGTCATGCCAAAACAAACAGCATGAAAACTTATCGAAAGTGTTGATGTTGAAGGGGATCTGCTCGAAGAGAAGACAGAATGACTTTCAATTGAAAGTGATGGTTGACAGCTTTTCGATTGAAAGTGACTTTGTTAGGCCCTAGGTTAGGTCATGCCTTTACTGACTAGTGTGACTAGGCTATCGGGACAGAAGTGGTAAATGTCATAGAAATTTTCGTACTGACATTTTGTTGTAAAAAATTCTCGTTACACCTCTGAGGGAGACCCTCTTATATCTTAAGAAGATCTATTCGTGAACTATTCCAGAACCGTGTAAAATTCGAAGCTTCAGTCCACCATTAGAGTAGCTTAAAAAGAAAAGTTTGAAATCCACCCTAACCTCAATTGTTTTCTTTCCCATTCAATTGCCTCATCGCCATACAGGCACTTCCAAACTGGACGAAGCCCGACGGAAGCGGGAGGAGAAGAAAATGCAACGTCAACGGGAACTGGAAGCGCGGCGTGCTGCGCGAGGTGCCGGCGGGACCGGTGGTCCCAGCAGCGGTCCGATGAAGTTGGGAGCGAAAAAGATACAGCTCGATTGAGTAAGCGAAACCGGCGGTGACGACGATGACGACGACGACGACGACTACGACTAGGAGTCAGGTGAGACGAGGATTGTAAGATTTTGGTCGTCGGCGATATCAACACGACGACGTTTATTGGAATTTGTCACTGTCGGAGACGTGAGTATAATCTACACGTACTTTAACTATAAGCAGATTTATGGTGCAATCAAGCGTATGGCCGCCTTTTGGAACGACACTCTCTAATAAAAAAAAACAAGGGAGGAAATTTTCGCGATTTGGGATTTAGGAAAAAAAAACATTCCATCAAACACAGGGACGTGCGCCGGGAAGAAGCGAGAAGCGACAGCGAGGGAATGGAAATGAAAACAGGGTTTGAGAGGAGTCAGATTTTTTCGCACCTTTCGGAGGGCATTGTCATTTATCTTGTATTAGCTTTAAACTAGAGAATTATACGAATTTAGAGACTTTTTCCTATAACAAAAAAAAAATGATCTTAAAAGTGACCGCGTTATTTCCGACGTGTGTCGGATGTCGCCGCCGGCATTCCCGCGAATGCAAGTCTTGTACCTACTATTTCTGAATGTGAAATTCGCGGAATCGAAAAATAAGAACAGAACAGATGATACACACACACAATTTGACTTCTATTATAGATAGGCATGAATCTTAATTACCAATAGATAGTGAGAAATTTATTGAAACTAATTGCACCCTAATAGAGAGTTTAAACGTCACAGACATACAAACACGCATGCCAAAGTCCACGCGTAGCAGCCTCCGGTGTAATTTTCGCTGTTTTCCATCCGCAATGTGGTCGGAAGCGGAACACGGCAGCGGCAGGGTTTGACAGTTGTCGCACCGGAGTCGATTCGGAGACTTACTCAGAGCAGGCTTATTCGCTGCCGCTGCCGTTCCGCTTTCGCTATCATTGCGTTCGGGCCTTTAAGAATCATTTTTTTTTTCGGTACAGTAGGTGTGATTATTTCATAGATGGCTACGCTTTAATAACAGCATATCTTTTCAATGTGAATCTTCTTTTTCTTCATTTTTTAGAGTGTACAAATCATTCGGAAAACTATAATTTCTTCTGTTTCATTTCATGTGCAATGATGGTAAAGCAGTGCATTATCTGGAAGTCTCTTGACCTTCCAAACTATATCTAGACATTAATGTAATGGTGATAAGCTCCAACTCGGATTAAAGTTTAATACCGTTCCTGTTTGGATGATCTGAAAAATATTTGCTAACACGACTCTATGTTGATTAACTCTGATGTCGACATAAAAGCAGCCGGACATTCTTGATCGGGATTTAATCCGAGGATAATACCGGTTGGAGCTCACCACCACAAGACATTATTTGAGCTTCGCCGCCTTAAGGTTTTTTTTTAATCTTGCTGTGAAAATATGCAATTGAACTTGCTCTGGACGCAGTCAACATTTTCTTAGACGTCATTAGAAGTTGTCAGAGGTTCTACTGGATCGTGCACGTGGAAGTGCTTTAAACATCCAGAAAGCCACTGAACATTGTGAAACTTCTCCAGCAAGCTATATTATCATCAGCGCCACCACCACTGCTCTTACATTTTAACGATGTCCTCATCACATTCCATAAGAGTAGTGTATTAGAGAAAGAGGGATATAGTAACAAATTATCACTATCATACCTGTTTTCTCTAACATGGGAGTTGATCCACCGACGACCCGGCAAGACAGCTACATTCAAATTCAAATCCCTGTTCATAAATTTTTCCTGGATCTCGTAGAACTTCGATGAAGATCTTCAAACTTTCCTGGTGTTCTTCGAACTTCTTTGAAGTTCACAGAACGTCTCTGAATTAGTCTCTGAATCTTAAAATTCACAGTACTTTCCTAATGTTAGTACATTTTTCCTCGAGTGCTCAAACCTACAAGAAAGCCCTGAGTGTGGAAAGGAGTCAGCGGACCTACGAAAAAACTGGAACCAGGGATCGTCAGCTGCGCAGCAAGGTGTTGAGGTGCGTTAAAGCCAACCCCGGTCTTTCGATCCGAGATGTGGCCAGAAGGTACAACGCCAACTTTCAAACGGTGCTGAACATTCTTGCTAGGAAAGGATACAAGGCGTACAAAGCCAGTAAACATTCGAACCGGCACATTGAGCAGAATTCCGTGGCCAAAAAGCGTGCAAGGCGATTTACGAACGTACGACCGTGTTTTGACGAAACACAAGGGCTGCACTTTGATGGATGGCGAAACATACGTCAAACTCGATTTTAAGCAGCATCCCGGTAAATTTTTTTACATGCCGGGAAGATTCAAGTTCGTGTTTGCCGACAAGTTCGCGAAGAAGGCCATGATTTGGCAAGCGATTTGCAGTTGTGGCCTGAAAACGGAACCATTCGTCACATCCTAGACGATGACATCCCAAGTTTGCATCGAAGAATGCCTGAAAAAGCGTGTATTGCCGTTCATCCGCAAGCATAGGGGCAAAGTCATCTTTTGGCCCGATTTGGCCAGCTGCCACTACTCCAAGGTGGTTCTGGCGTGGTATGCTGCCAACAAGATCGATTTTGTCCCCATGCTAATGAATCCTCCAAATTGCCCGGAATTTCGACCAATCGAAAAATACTGGGCGATTTCAAAGCAGCGACTTCGACGAAGCGACGGGACAGTCAAGGACATCCAGCATCCGTGTCCGTTTCCACTGTGTGGATGCTGATGGGCTCCATCAAGAGGAAGGTTCGAGATTTCGTTCAAACTGGAGAAATGTAACCATCTTATGCTGTAACTTTGAAGTTTTAATAAAAGTACTGTAAAGCAACCATTAATGGACTTTTTTAAACTTATTGAATCACGAATTACAGGACTGTTTGTGCGTTGGAGTTCATATAATTTTGCTAGAGATCACACAATTCGTAGAACTTATCAGGAGTACACTGAACATTCCTGAAGCTCGCAAAACGTTCCTGAAGTTCACAATTTTTTTCCAGAAGTTTGTAGAACTTCTCGATGAATGAAGTATTTTTCTGAAGTTTGCAGTACTTTCCTTGAAGTTTGAAGAGCTTTTCTGATATTCAAAGCACGTTGTCCAAGTTAACTTAATTTTCCTGAAATTTTTAGAACTTCTCTGTAGTTTGTAGAACTACCCTGAAGTTTGTTGAACTTCCCTGAAGTTTGTAGAACTTTCCTGAATTCGTCTTGAAGTTCTCCAAAATCTCTGATTTAATACTCCAGAATCTCTACCGGGATTCTCAAAAATAACTTTTGGGATTCTTTGGAATCCTTTCCTGAATTCTCTGGAATGCCTCTTGCTATATTTTGGACTTCTTCGGTTGCAATTCTACGGGGTTCATTTAGGGATTCTCCGGAATCCACCTCAAAATCATCAAGAGTTCATGCTGGGCTTCTCTGCAATTAATCTTGGGGGTCCCCAAAATGGAATGCCCTCATGGCCGCAATTTTGAAAATTTTACAAAATGTCCGCAAAACATGGATCATTGCCCATAACAAACGGCTATGCAATGTTTCATGCAAATCGCAGAAGGTTGAGTTTTTCCGATTCGTAATTTGGCGTGGAACTACTCAAAGACCTCCCAGTTCTTCCTCAGAGTTTCTTCTGGAAACTGGTGCAACTTTCCGTGGAACTGTTTTGAAAGTCTTCTTCGAGTAGGTTAATCTTCCCCTGGAGGGGTCTGACCGGGTCTTGTGTCGGTCGACTGTGGGAGACGTTTTGGAACAAGGGATCCTGATAAGGTCCCAAAAGCGACGGTTAAATATCTCATTATATTTGAAGCTCCTGTAGTCGACGGAATTGTGCAGAATCACTTGCGTCTAAAGCGATCGTGATGGCAGTCCTTGGCAAGACAATGCTGGAATCGCTAGAGGCTTCTTGGCCTGACAAAGATTGAATAGCTTACAGCTCAAACGATCGTGATGTTGGACCTTCGCCAGACGACGGTAGAGTCGATAGGGGTACAAGCGATCGTGATTTCGACTCTTGGCTCGACGATGGTGAAATCGTCTGGAAAGCAAGCGATCGTAATGGTGGCCCTTGTCTGGATGAAGATGAAATCGATAGGCGCGCAAGCGATCGTGATGGTAGCTGTTGGAAACTAATAAGCCATGGGGAAGCCTTCAACAAAAATATTAATTATCCTAACAACCACTGTTGATTCAAGTTTAATAAAATTTTCTATCTCATTAATTGTATGTGTGATTCTCCGCTTCGGAGCTAATAGAAAACCAGTATCTCTTTTTCAAGAACCAAAGAAGAATTCCTCCGATAATCTGTGCGAAGAAGATTAAGTCCCATCCTCAGGTGAGCGAACTGTCGGTGTGATTCCGAAACAGCTGCCTGAAACATTGGTCCTTCTTCCCTTCCTCAAGTGAGCGAACTGTCGGTGTGATTCCCAACCAGCCGCCTGAAACATTGGTCCTTCTTCCCGTCATCAGGTGAGCGAACTGTCGGTCTGATTCCTAACCAGCCGCCTGAAACATCGGTTCTTCTTCCCGTGCTCAAGTTAGTGAACTGTCGGTCTGATTTTCAATCAGCCGCCTGAAAAATTGGTCCTTCTTCCCGTCCTCAGGTTAGCGAACTGTCGGTGTGATTCCGGAACAGCTGCCTGAAACATTGGTCCTTCTTCCCGTCCTCAAGTGAGCGAACTGTCGGTGTGATTTCGAACCAGCCGCCTAAAACATTGATCCTTCTTCCCGTCCTCAGGTGAGCGAACTGTCGATGTGAATCCGAACCAGTCGCCTGAAACATTGGTCCTTCTTCCCGTGCTCAAGTGAGCGAACTGTCGGTGTGAATCGGAACCAGCCGCCTGAAACATTGGCCCTTCTTCCCGTCCTCAGGTGATCCAGCTGCCTGAAACATGGGTTCTTCTTCCCGTGCTCAAGTTAGCGAACTGTCGGTCGGATTCCTAACCAGCCGCCTGAAACATTGGCCCTTCTTCCCGTCCTCAAGTGAGCGAACTGTCGGTGTGAATCGGAACCAGCCGCCTGAAACATTGGCCCTTCTTCCCGTCCTCAGGTGATCCAGCTGCCTGAAACATCGGTTCTTCTTCCCGTGCTCAAGTTAGCGAACTGTCGGTCGGATTCCTAACCAGCCGCCTGAAACATTGGCCCTTCTTCCCGTCCTCAAGTGAGCGAACTGTCGGTGTGATTCCGAACCAGCCGCCTGAAACATCGGTTCTTCTTCCCGTGCTCAAGTGAGCGAACCGTCGGTCGGATTCCTAACAAGCCGCCTGAAACATTGGTCCTTCTTCCCGTGCTCAAGTGAGCGAACTGTCGGTGTGATTTCGAATCAGCCGACTAAAACAGTGATCCTTCTTCCCGTCCTTAAGTGAGCGAACTGCCGGTGTGAATCCGAACCAGCCGCTTGAAACAGCAACCCTTGGTCAGCCGACGGTGGAAGCGATAGAGGCGTAGCGATTGTGATTGCGCTTCTTGATCCGATGAATCGCTAAAGGCCCAAACGCAATGTGGGCGGAAGCGGAACGGAAACGGCAAGTTTGACAGTTGTCATAAATTACATCAAGATGCCTAACCGATGTCGATTTGGATCTAACTTATTTTCAATCCGACAAGTAGGCTTACTCAGATCGGGCTTTTCCGCTTCCGCTGTCATTGCGCTTGGACCTTAAGGGCTGAACCGGTCATGTTGGTGGCTCTTGGCCGGACGAAGATGAAGACACTTGTTACAGTTCCCCGGTAGCGGTAGAGCAGAACTACCATAGGGCGGACCAATCAAAAACACTTAGGGCAATGTGCACCAACCAATAAAACAAAACTTGAGAATATATGCCATCAACAAATGTGTATTCTCATTTCCCACATACTCCCCCTTTCTATCCACTGCTCCTTTCTCTCTTTCTCTCTCTCTCCTGCTCTTACTCCTCTTTCTGGTCCTAACTAGGGCTCGCTAAACTACATGGCTTTTCCTTATTTTCTTCGGCGTCGCAAAGCTTCCGCCCACTACGTACATTGGAACGTACTCACATTTTCTCCTGCTCGCCGTCGTTGTTGCCACTAAGGGACTTGCTTCATGGCCTCACTGCACCCATGCGCCTCGTCGACGTGCCGGCTTATCGGCTTCCCTCCGTCGTCAGACCGACGACTTGCCGAACGTTCGCGCCAACTCGTTCCAGAGATCTTCGGAGCTATCTGTCGACGCGCACCTCCGCCTACGACCGTGGAGACAATCGTCGCTCTATCGCCCCGTGTGGTAGTAGAATTGCTGTTCGTCACAGAGTTCACCGTTGTGGGTCGACGTCGTGCACTTCCGCCTTCGAGCACTACCTAGTCCTTCGTTCGCCGTTGTGGTGCAAGGAGTGCCGCTAGCCGTGCGGTCCAACCAGCGGCCGTCACCCGGGTATCCGTTGCTGTCCGTTGTTCTGCCTCCGCCTTCTGCCGTCACCCAGTCCGTCGCTTGACGAACGATCGCAACTGTTACTCGCACAGAGAGTTTGAAGATCGAAATAAAAAGAAAAGCGCCCTGGAAGTCGATCCATTAGTTTTAGCGGAGATTCAAGATTCACATTCGGTGCAACTCACCCTCGTATGGGACGCTTCTTTCTCCTTCCACTTCGGTTGACTTCCGTGTCCTAGCGATTCCCACGCTGTGACGACAACGTGCTTCCTTCGCTGGATCTCTCGACCGAACAAGTTTGGCCTATGAGCAGTCCGTGTGCGATTCCGTTGGTTCACGAGCTATTGGTGTAGCGATCGGTAGTTCCTCACGGTCAGACCAAACCGGATCCGAAACGTGCTGCCTTTTCCCGCTGTTTCACTCGATCGAACCAGTACGTGCTGCGACCAAATCGTGTGGTTGGCGTCATCCAAAATCGAATGGAAAGCCCA